AATACATGTTTAGGTCTCTCTTGGATATGGTATAGTCATACATATTATCAAACTCCACTCGAAATTGTTCGGGTATCATTTATTGGACTTAGACCTATCTATGGGTCCAAAATTTGAACCCATTCGAGTATATCGATTAGTTTCGGTTCAAGTCGGGGTCCATTGCCATTCGTAACTCTATCCGATCATTAATAGCCAGTTTGTATCATTGTCATAATCTGTCCGATCGAAATCCGATAATTAAAAACCAGTTTGTAACATTGTGACTCAAGGTATCTTTAGCTATGTACTCAAATCTGATCAAATATACTTTATATGTGGGTGGGTCACATGAAAAGCCTTCCTATAGTGACTCAAGCCCTATTCCTCTTGCTACTTTATAGTCAACGGTCTGCCATTAATTTTGGAGTATTTGGCAATGGGGCTAGTTTGCTCACCTACATTTTGCGTGATCTTCTGGATTCAAGAAATCGATGTCCCAATGGAGCCGTTTCTTTAGGACCATGGCTTTAAAGTCATGCTCAAAATTCATGTGAGGAGGGTATATGGAGAAAAAAAAGCAAACTCACCAAACCCACCAAGAATTACAGGTATGGCATTGCAAAACGTTCAAATTCAATCATCTTGACCATCATTATTATCATTGCAGAAAAAATAGTTTGAATTTTAAGTTTTAAAAATGAGGTATATTATAACACATTGTCTAGACCATCTATTCTTAAGTGTTCACGCATCTTGTGGATCTGTATGATTTTTTTAGTTACAAATTTCATAATCTGTGATTGGAAACAGATTTTAGAGCAATCTTAGAAATTTCCCATGCCCAGAGTGTTTTCCGAAAAAGATTGTAAGGTGAGGCTTTACTTCCTTTTTTTAAAGCCTAGGCCTTATTGAAACTGCATCCTTTTACGCCTATGATTATCAAGGCGGACATGATCCATTGGCATGTTTATTTATGCCTGGGCTGCAGTTTCCGGTGACCATGAAGTCCTAGCCTTCTCGCGTTTAAAGAGTCGGACCACCAAGAGCCGAGAAATTCAATACAACTCAAGTCTGCTATGACCTGAATTTTGTAATTCTCTTGATTGATTAATACAGTTTTGTAATATTGTCAAACTAAATTCAATATCTATCAAGTCTTCCAATCCCCATTACAAGAGAATTTTAATTAAAAGTCAAGAGTCGGATCTCTATCAGCCCAAAATCGGCACAGGGTACTGAGATTGACTGAGTTTACAACAGTATTCTGTTTTAGAAACACCAGAGAGAATAGCGTAGCCACTCTACCATGATATAGGGGATTACTGAAAATAAGGGTGGGAATGATTGCTTCTTTATTGAATAACATAAATTATTCTTTAACCATTAATACATTAGAGTGTTTTGAACTATTATTTTCTCATTAAGCGTTTACCCATCTTTTACTATGCCATGAAGCTTCTTCGAAATTGTATGTTCCAATTTCTTTACTGTTTTTTTAAATATTCAATTTGTTTACCTTTGTTTTATATATTTATTTTTTTTATTTTGATTCTATTATTCATTTTTAGA